TAGGCGTACCGGGCGGGGGGGCGGGGGGGGCGGCAGCCCCCCCAGTTTTTTGGGCAGTCGGGCAATATTCGATCAACAGTCGGGCAATTTTGGTTTGGAATAAAAAAAAATGGGACAAATTCTGTCAATTTTGTCTAAAATTAAGTCAATTTTGGCAAATTTTGTGATTTTTCGAAAATTTGTGTTATGCTCCGAAAAAATTGGTTGTCCGGAAAATTTTTTTGACCCCTAAAATGGTACACTGACCGAATTTTTTTTGGCGACGGGGGGGGGGTCGCCAAAATAATTTTTCCGGAAAAAAATTTTTGGTACTAGTCGGGCAGAATCCCGAAAAGTCGGGCAATTTTCTTTCCGCCCCCCTAATTTTTTCCTTCCGGTACGCCCATGCTTCTATCCCGACTCCGCATTTCCCATTTGCACTATAGTGAACTGGAACTAATCTGTCCTTATTGTCAACTCTACGTTCTCCACAAAAAATTGTTGGAAAAAGACAAGTACTCGGAATCTTTATCAGTAAACATACCTAATGGTTTATTATCCTCCCCAGGTGCAAAGTTAAACACTAATTCACTATCTTGAACTGTGTCAGGTTCAACTAGCAATGTATCCATTACTGGGGCCGGACGCTCTTCAATTTCACACCAGTTATCATCAGAATTATTGTCAGATGTTTTAGAACTAATAAAGTCTTTACTTCTGTTTTCAAAATCATGTTGCTTATTGTTATTGTTTACCTTATCCTTTTCATTCTCAAGGACAGGAGAAGAGGAGACAAAATCTTGATCAGTATCACTTTGGTCACCTTGTTCATTCATGCATTTGGGCTCATACAACAAATTGTTACCCATTTTGTCTGTGTATGTATCAAGAAAAGCATCATTTACTTGTATACCTTCATTTATAAATAATTTGCTATTCTTTGCAAGATATTGGGCAGCCATTAGCACCTTCATAGGCCGAATAGTCTGGAACCTGTAGTGGTGTTTATAACTAAGACGCCTCTTTACTTTGACTGGAATGGTTTGTAATTCATTCATTCATTGATCTTGGTAAAACATTGACAGTCGAGTTTACATTTGCTGGGACATTTACAACATTCCCATGTATTTTAAATTGACCTCCTCTTGGAAGTTCATGAATTTGCATGAAAGGTATACGTGGAGAAATTAACCTTTCTTCAAGGGAGGTAAGATTTAGTAGGTCAGACTTTAGTGGGAATTTCATACCATTAGCTTTCGAACATGCCGGTAACTTTCCATCTTTCAAGTTTGAGTGGCAAGTGGAACAAATCCATTCAATGTTGTCAAAACTTTTAACATTAGTAAGACAAAGCTTAAGAATATTCTCAGGACACATGTTATAAGAACTTGGTTTGCACATCTTTACAGATGTTCTGTACCATAACTGATCACAACATGTACAGATATACTCAGGACCAGATTTAACAAGATCATGAAATGTCTGAATGTATTTTTGTCTCTCACTGACATGTGAATATTTCATTTTTTGTGCATCATATTTAGTTTTTTTTACATTCTAATTCATGCTGTAGTTTCCGTGATTAAAACTGCATCTTTTTCTCTTCATAGATTCTGTTTCAGTGCTCATGGAACTTATTTGATCTTTTGGACTTTCTAACTTCTGTGCTTGTTCTACCTTGACTTTATTGGTGCTAGTATCTTGCCTTGTTTTTGGCTTGTTTGCAGAATACATTGTTGTAGAAACATAGTGAAGTTCATCGATGTGCCCAATATGTATTTTAGTATACTTTGCTCCATGAATAACTGGGTGAATAATAGTCGTTGCATTGAAATTGAGTGCAGACTCAGTAATATCAATTATACAATTCGGGGCATCAGAAACGGCTTGAACTACAATCGCATCTGCCCATGTGCCATTCATCGACATACTGTTGATATATGCAGAAAATTAGTTGTTTGCTATACTTTCGACAAATTGTTCTGGGTGACTTCTAATTTAATCTATAGCTGTTGAGCGCACAATTTGATGAAAGTTGGAATTTTGAAATAATTGATGAGAAACAGCCCTAAAAAAACAATTTCCATCACCACCAACATCAAAAGGTTTTAGACCTTTAGCAAATAGACGAGTTGATAGTGTCATCATACTTTTACTGACTTCTTTATTTGAAGACAAGTTTATTTTCTGACCTTGGCTAGTTGCAAAAGTTAAATCACTGGTTCCCTAGTGAACCCCAGTTGAATTCTGTAGGTACATCCCCATTTCACTAGACACAGACAATCTATCTAACCAGAGGAGGTCGGACAAGCAATTAGCGAGTTGTCACGTGAGCTCTCGACCAATGAGATCGCTCTATTTTCCATCGTGTTTTCTGCCGAATTTGGGCAGAAAAATTTGTATTCGACGGAAAATAAATCGAGAAAAAACATTAATATTAAAATTTTCTTGCAAAATTTCAAGTGTAATAGTACTACTGCTAAAGATCTGGTGATATCTGCAAAAATCTCTAAGGTAAACGTTATTTTCAATGTTATTTTGATGTTTGAAGTTAGACGACTCCCCGCGACGTGTTGACTCAAGTCTAAATATGTTTACAATGTTTAAAATGAAATATCTAGAATTCCCATGGTTCGATTTTCCTCATTTTTGGCAGCCATCAAGAAAAATATATAAGCTTTAAATCTGCTGGAATGATCCCGGTGATCCCCCGGCAGTTTTCGAGATATTGGCCATTGAAGCGACTATTGTCAACTCGACGCTCGCTAAAATGGCGTCTAATACCTTGGAAAGAATTTGCGCCATCAAAGATTATATTTTCAATGAATTTTTGTTAAAGTGTTAAAATATTATTTAGAAGACTTAGGAGTTGTTTCAATATTTTTGTAGAATTTATATCTGTGCGATTTTCAAAGTTTTTTCTGTCTTTGGCCGACGCGACTGGATCGTGTACATATTCCCATACGAGCTGATCGCCTGATCCTGGGGTTTTTGTTGCAAATCGAGCTACGGAATCCTCATCATGGACAACTCAGTGTTATAACAGCCCATTTCAAACCAGCAGAGAGCTCCACTTGTTTTAAAACAATAAAACAAGTTTTTATTGTATTTTTATTGTATTGTGGTCAATTTATTGAAATTTAATAAATATTATGCACGAGTCAATTCCAGGAGTAACCATCACCCCCCCCTCCCCCCCGGGAACACACCTGGGCATTTGATTTGACTGGTTACGATAGTGCACAGTTAATAGAAGAAGTGTGCCGGGACACAACTAGGAGTAGGAGACTAATGCACGGCCCTTGGGCAAGCTGAGAGTGGAAAATGCCCCACCCCAGGGACGATGAATGCATATCATAGGCATAGTCATTTAATAACATTATACCATTAAGCTGCTATGGAATATTATAAAACTTTATTCGCATGGCACAGGTAATAAGTTTTGCAAAAGTGAAACCATTTGTCAAATCCCTGGGCCCAATACCCGGCCCCTGTACACGTACCCGGCCCCTGTGCATGTATATGACAGGTAAATTCCCGACCCCTGTAAACTGTCTATTAGCGGTGTTGAAACACAGCTAACAGAGGCGCTCGAAAGGCACCAGAAAATGTGAACACTTGTATATTGAACAAAATATTGTCTATTTGTTAATATTTCGGCTAAAAGGTAGATCAGTGTGTTTATCAGCAGATCTGTTGGGTGAAGTAGAAAAACAGATAACAATTAAGTCAACTAAACAAAAACGAAACCACTCACCTTTTAATTTAGCATACGCTTCTCAAAAAGTCAAAAGTGGAAAAGAACGTGAAAGCGTGCTCCAGCCCGAATTCCGGTTCCAAAAGGCCCGATTCGCAGGCAAACACTGCGCGTAAAGCAGGCTGGTCATTTCCCATTGTTTAACTGCCCCACTCAAGTAAACCACAAAGACTCACAGATGTTGCTTCGCAACATCCGTGAGTCAAAAAGAGGCATCCAACATTGGCAGATTTTATAACAAAGTCATCATTAGTCATACCAATTGCCAAAACCTTGATGTGTAAAGTTGTGTTTCATTTAGCCAAGGCCCAAGTATAGTTTGGACCCTAAGTTCTCA